GGCCGGACGCGGCTCCCCCTGCCGCCGCCTCCCGCAGCCGCCGCCGCCACAGCGCGACTCCCGTCGCTCCGCGCGCAGGACGGGGGCAACTTTTCCCTCCGACTCAACTCGGAGCGTGGGCTGTGGCGCCCCACCGCCCCCCCTTTCCATGCGGTCCCTGTCCATCCCTCCCTTCTCTGCACCACCTCCGGGCAACGTAGTGCTACTTCGCAGTTCCAAATCTGGTCCCTTTGGAATATTATTTATTTATTTTTTTAACTAAAAATGCATGAAGTCAAAAGTCTTTTGCGCTCACTTTTTTAATAAGTGGGAGTCTTCATACTGCTTTCATACTTTGCGATCTGACCATTACTCACCTACATGAAGTTACATGTTACAAGTCAAACGTTTCTTCACTACTCCCTTCAAAAACCTGCTACCACGTCTTGCCTTCATTGGGCAGGAGATAACGGTTTAGCCGGAATACTTTCTGGAAAGCTAAAAAGTATCAGTAGTTTTCTCCCTTCTCCATGGATTCTGGATTTATTTCCCACATGACATCCGTTCTTGCAATATCTAGCAGTAATAATAATGGCTACTTGATCTCAGAAGACTCTTAAATGCATCTTTTATGTTGAAATGGCCTGTTTGGGATTTAGGCCTCGCATTAATAATGGATAGCAGTTGCTTTTAGTTATTGTAAAGCCCCCCCCCACCCCCCAACAAACTTCCAAAGTTCCTATTTTAGGAACTTGTGGAAGTATGGAATGAAACTTTTCTAGCCATTTCTGGCAAGGTTCACAATTGCATATGGATCAGATGCAAAGTGTAAGATAATTTGAATGAATTACGGACTGCAGTGAAAATGCTGAGATTCAGAGGCTGAAGTTCTAGCTGGCAAAAGTTTGCAACACAGAGCACTTGTAGATAATTCCAGTGTGCTACCACAGAGGGAAAGCACTCTAACAGATAGATTAATACCTTCTCAAGTGAGCCCTTCAAATTTGTATTTTGGAATTGTGCAGAGATGAGGACACCTGTGTGTCCACGCAGGCCCAGGGCATAGTCAGGTGTGTAAAAAAGTTAGCTTGGTTCATGAGCTACTAGCACATTCAAGTTTTTTTTTTTCTTTTTACATATTTGGCAAGGTTGATTGATGCATTCACTAGGCCTTCGGTGGAAACACTACTAAGAGAAATGCTTATTTAGTGTAACAGTTGGCGATGAAAATGTACAATAAATAGTGAATGACCGCTCATGTATTTTATGGGTTCTTCTTTTAAAAATTGATTTACAACTTATTTAACTTGTTGGAATATTTATAATGCTTTAGAGCTAGTTTTAAAAAGAAAGACTTAGGTAGTTTATTGCTCATTAAAAAAAAAAAAATTCCCCGAATATAGTGATACAAGTGCTCTAAATGAAGGAATCTACTTCAATGCAATTAAAAAAAAATTTACTAGGAAAATACCAGGTATTTTATTTTAATCCAGGATGGGCCTATCATATTGACATCATGTACCTGGCCATATATTGATAACACAGCAGAAATGAATAGGTAAACCTTTAAAATAAGTAGTTTTCAGAAATACCAGCATTCGGTGGGTCTTACACTTGGCTTACTTTCAAACAGACCAGCATTTAAGATGCTGGTTAAAAGTAATACCGCTTCTGAAACAGGTTTTCAAGTTTGTTTTTATTGGTGGTCTGTAACTTTCTTCCTGAGTACATATGTAACATATTCTTTGTTTTTCTTTTGAATATTTTCACATAGTACATAGCTTATGATATTACATTCAGCAGCATGATTTATAAGGGCCTTCTATCTTTTTTTTTTTTTAAATTATTTTTAAATACCAGCATTCGGTGGGTCTTACACTTGGCTTACTTTCAAACAGACCAGCATTTAAGATGCTGGTTAAAAGTAATACCGCTTCTGAAACAGGTTTTCAAGTTTGTTTTTATTGGTGGTCTGTAACTTTCTTCCTGAGTACATATGTAACATATTCTTTGTTTTTCTTTTGAATATTTTCACATAGTGCATAGCTTATGATATTACATTCAGCAGCATGATTTATAAGGGCCTTCTATCTTTTTTTTTTTTTAAACTGATTTTTGTTATCCCTGGATATTTTCTACAAGTTAATGCTATCATTTAGTGTAGATGTTCTGGAATATTTCTAATCATGAGTTCAGAAAGCGGCATTAAAAAAAATTAACTGGCATTTTAATTGTACTTTTATAAAAGTTATACACCATATTGTGTACTTTTATTGGCACATGCTTAAAACGTTTGGGGAGTAATATGTTGTAAATACCTTTGATGCAGAATTGGTGACTTAGATTATTCTTAATGACTAGTTGACATAGTTGGCCTCATTTAAGGATTTTTATGATGAGATATATGGGCATTTGGTTGGCAGGTAAACAAAATCCTTCTGAACACAAATGGACGCAGTTCGCAGTTTTTGAGAAGCATATTGGGAGTGTCTTTGAACACTTAAAAAGTCATATTAGACTGTTTACTTAAAATATATATTTTTTAAAATCATGAATAAGGCTTTTAAATAAGGTAATGTTTTACCATAGACATGAACTGATTGGTGCTACATTATTCTTTGCATTATAAAATGGGGCTGAGACTTTAACATGAAATCCTTTTGCTGAAAGCTCAATTTGTAGCTTATGATAGACTCCAAGAGTCTTTGCATAATACTACAGGGCCTTGGTTCCTAGCATGTCTTGTGTATAAAATAAAATCAGGCAATGGGAAGAACTATTTCAGAACTAAAACATATGGATTTTAGAGCATTGCAGGGATGAGCTCAGAATTTAGTGATGTTTAATGCCTTATGGTTTGGCGTACACCTTAACAGATAAACTGTGACTTGCCTCCATTTCTCTCTTCTAAAGTATGTGAATAAGAAAGATTCTGAAACATTAGAAATTTTTAAAATGCTAATGGTTTATGGTAAAGCATAAAAGAATTATTTTTATTTTTTTTCTCTAGTTCCCCTCCACTTAAAAAAATGCACACATGCTATAAAAGCTGACCACTTCTCTTTTGGATTCTTTTATTGAAAGAGAGCAGTTTTCAAAGTTAAACTTGAAACACAGAGCCTGAAATTTGTGCAAAGAGGAAAAGAATAAATGTCAACTACTGAAGTGATTTATATTACATTAATATATACGTAGTAGTAAAAAAAATCAGTCATATGCAGTGTTTGGATGACTGATTATAATTTGCAAAATTTTAGGGGGCTGGACTATTAAAATATTTTACTATTTTTGCTTTCTCAGCTTATATTTTAACATTGAAAAATTTAATAATTGCTTTAAAAGTAATATTTGGGATATTCCAGTTATTCGTGGCCCAAAGTATGTATTTACATAAATGTGATAAAATGAAAAGGAATACATTTTATATTTGTCCTCTATCCTTTTTTTTAAAAAAAAGTATCAGCAATTATGTCTTAAGCATAGATCTTTGGTTTTCTTCTCCTCATGTATTTGAAAGTAAATAATTTATCTTTTGGAGGGGTGATGTGGCAGAGAGAAGTTATGTAAGATTAGTGAGGATTAGTTAATAAAAGTTAGATGTACTCCGAAAACCTTGTATTGGTTACCGCTTAGTTTTTTTCTTTATTTTTATTTTTTGGTTTTTAAGAAAATGTCACATATATGAATCAAACATTTTGAGTAAAACAAGAAGACATTAATTGTTTTAAAATCAACTTTATTTTTAAATTTCCTCAATTTTAAGAGGCAACCATGAGGCTTTTCCTGGAGTCTTGTAAACATTGAATATACCGAAATCTCTTTTTCCTTGTGAGAAAACTGAAATTTTATTTTCAAAAATTAAATGATCTATTTTTTAGGGATGATTACTACTGAAATCATTCTACCATCATAGCAGTAAATTCAACATATTTGGTTGCAACACTGTCACAATGGCACATTCTATTTACAATCAGGGATGATTACTACTGAAATCATTCTACCATCATAGCAGTAAATTCAACATATTTGGTTGCAACACTGTTGTCACAATGGCACATTCTGTTTACAATCTGGCATGACGCATTTCATTTTTTCCCCTTTTTATTTTATTCCCATAATATCAGCAATTGCATCTTGAGCATCAAAATTTTTCTAAGTCTTTGACTAAAATAAATTACATGCAAATGCAATATTTAAAAGAGAAATTAAGATAAGAGCGAAATGAGTAAGAAACAGATCAGAGCCCACATTCAGCATGGTTAGAGGGAAAGCCTTTGTTTTCATTGATTGTGGACATGATTTTTGCTCCTAGACTTCCATAAACATTGACTGGCATCTAAATGTTTAGGATTTGCCAACCTGGCGGCCAGGCCCTGGCTGTACTACAAGTGGTGAGGTCAAGGCTGGGACAAAATTAGATATGCCTTTCTTGAAATAGGTTAAGATTATATACTGTTATAAGCATTTAGATAAACTTCACTCACTGTCTAAAAGATTTGGGAACTAGGCCGGACAACAGAAGCTGGTGCACTTTGGTGAATGCATCAAAGCATTTAATTTTAAAAAAAAATTTTGTTAGCAGTTTTCTTTTTTCAGGTTGTGGGAAATGAGAGTTTGCTGCTCTTTCTGCCCCCTCCCACTTCCATAGGGGTCCTATTCTGATTTTGATAATGTCATCGTGGTAAAGGGAAATGAGAAATTTGTTTAAAGGTGGGATTAGAAGAAAGTTATTTTCCTTTGGTTTACCTGCTAGTCATAGTTTTGTTTTTATTCATTTACCTAGGATGAATTTCATCCTTTCATCGAAGCACTTCTGCCCCATGTCCGAGCCTTCGCCTACACATGGTTCAACCTGCAGGCCCGAAAACGAAAATACTTCAAAAAACATGAAAAGCGTATGTCAAAAGAAGAAGAGAGAGCCGTGAAGGATGAATTGCTAAGTGAAAAACCAGAGGTCAAGCAGAAGTGGGCATCTCGACTTCTGGCCAAGTTACGGAAAGATATCCGGCCTGAGTATCGGGAGGATTTTGTTCTTACAGTGACAGGGAAAAAACCTCCATGTTGTGTTCTTTCCAACCCAGACCAGAAAGGCAAGATGCGAAGAATTGACTGCCTCCGCCAGGCAGATAAAGTCTGGAGGTTGGACCTTGTCATGGTGATTTTGTTTAAAGGAATTCCGCTGGAAAGTACTGATGGCGAGCGCCTGGTGAAGTCGCCACAGTGCTCTAACCCAGGGCTCTGTGTGCAGCCCCATCACATAGGGGTTTCTGTTAAGGAACTCGATTTATATTTGGCATACTTTGTGCATGCAGCAGGTAAGTGTGGTGGTGAGAATTCCTTGCATTTTCTTGTGTGTTTCTTTCCCGATGACTTCCGTGGGTGCCGGACCCTCGCTGAACTCCCCATGTTGTAGGCCACGTACATGAGCCGTGTGGTTTCAAAGATAGACCAAGGGCAGGACAGCTCGAGATCCCTGGTCAAAAGTGCCGTCTGCATGCAGGTGGAAAAGCATAGCTTTGAGAGAATGCTAAGTTCAGTTCTTTGGTAAGTAGTGTTACAAAGGTGTTGGTCATCAGGCAATATGTTTAAATCACATTTTTTGATGAGGGCTGAGGAGAGCCTCATGAAAAACCCTTGGAATAAAGAGTATGTTTTAACTGGCAAGTGATCTAGTTAAAAAGCATTCAGTTTGGTAGCGAGGCAGTATTTTCAGTTGCTTTTCTGCTGGGAGTGTTTTGAACCCACCGGGGCCTCTTGAACCCCTTGCCAATTAAGAAGGTGGAGGTAAGATTACTATCGAATTGCTGATCATTTATGAAGGAAAAATAATGACATTAATACACAAATTTAGTAGCTTTGTATTTAGGAATTTTTACTGTTGTGTTAGCTAAGAAAAACAAACCAACCAACTCTTGAAGTAATTGATGGAGAGGTTAATATTAAAAATAACCAGTCTATGGAGGTCATGATACATTGAAAAATTGCTGTTGACTATTGATGCAGTGAATTGCTTTGATTTATTATAAAATTCTTTATTGTTTTTTTCCAAGGCATGTTTTACCTGTGTATGTTTCAGCATTTAGAATAGCATTCAGGGTAAAAACTACTGAGGGCTGGATAAAATAATGCATTTTTACTTGTTCCTTTCGTCTTGTTTTAGACAAAAGGCTCATTGTGTCATGTGAAAGCCCAAGTCTTGTGTAACTTGTTGACTTTTTATATGTACGTTTCGGTCTTGCTAGATTACCTTCATGGCAGTTACTTGGGCCAGAAAAAGAAGGTTGTAGAAACCTACCAGTTGTTTTGGGGGTTGTGTATTTCTGTATTTTTTCCACAAAGGAGAGAAGAGAAATTGCCTGTAAGATTAATGTTGGACTGTTTTGGAAAACATTTTTAATTCTAAAAAAGTTAGCTTTTTTTCCCCTAAAAGTCAGTTGATATCCTAGTCTCTATTGTTTTCCCCAATATATGCTTAAGAAAGAGAACTTTTGTTATCCATCTGTCCTTACATAAGAAATTGGAGAAATTAACTTTGCAAGCATGTCTCATCATCATTTGCATTCTGTTGGCAGGGGATAGATGAGTATTTTAGAGGATGAGATCTGCAAGTGTTTCAAATATTTGGGTTTTTGCAAATGTATACTTAATTATAAGAAGAGCCTGTTGCTTTAGCCTGTCCTGGGTAGCACAAAACGAAAAGACACCACCTCTCAAATGGCCACGTATCAGGAATAAATGGCACTTCCTTAACCCCCCCCCCTTTAGCCCTGTTGTGGTTAGTTTTTTTTTTCTT